ACCACCCCGCAGCCCCTCCTCGTCTCCCGCACCGGCTACACCGGCGAAGACGGCTTCGAGATCTCCATCCCCACTGCCAGTGACGCCACCCTACCTGCTCGCGTCACCGAGCTCTTCCTCTCCAACCCCGACGAAGTCCGTCTCGCCGGTCTTGCCGCGCGCGACTCCCTCCGTCTCGAAGCCGGAATGTGTCTCTACGGAAGCGACATCTCAACCTCCCAAACCCCTCCCGGCGCCTCCCTCACCTGGCTCGTAGGCAAGGAGCGTCGTGACCCCGCCACCGCCAACTTCAACGGCGCCTCCACCATCCTCCCCCAGGTCGCCTCCCCCAAGACCCTCTCCCAGCGCCGTGTTGGATTCACCGTCGAGAAGGGCTCTCCTGCCCGTGAGGGCGCCATCATCGTCGATCTGAACGACGAGTCCCGCACCCAGATCGGCGTCATCACCTCTGGCCTTCCCAGCCCTACTCTGGGCGGCACTAACATTGCCATGGGCTACATCAAGAACGGACTGCACAAGAAGGGCACTGAGGTTGGCGTCCTGGTAAGGAACAAGCTCCGCAAGGCTACGGTTACGGGTATGCCTTGGGTTGAGAGCAAGTTCTATCGCCCTAAGGCTTAAACCCCTTTCCTTTAGGTCGGTTTTATTGGCTTGGATGTGGATGGACGGGGTGATATAGGAGTGGGTGTTTGGCTTGGTTTTCAACAATAGATTCCCCCCTGATGATGATTCTCGATGGCTTGATGTTTGACGTCATTGTTTGTACATAGATTCTGATGATTCATCTTTTTCTTTTTCCTTCCTTTTTCCTTTTGGGTCTCACTTTGGGACCAGCAATGGGTTCAACCCTGTCGTGATGGCTGCTCCGTTTGTCGGCGAATGCCAGATTGTGAGATGTGATACAATTTTAAAAGTCCCAATATTCCCTCCCAATCAGGTGTAATGCAGCACGTACTTCTATCTTTTTAATAAAAGTGTGATATGTAGGACAAATCACAAAGTATCCAATCTTACCTAGTGCTAGGTATTATAAATTACGAAGTTTATGTCTTCTGCTTCTGGCCCTGCAAGAAAAAGAAAAGGACAAACCCCAGGTCAAATTGATAGGTAAGAAGAAGAAGAAGAAGAAGAAGAAGAAAGGTACACCCGCCTCTCTGACTAACCCCAGTACCTAGTTCCTACACTGTAAGAATATTATCTCAGTGCCACAGCATCCCCTCCCCTCAACCATCCACCCCAACCACCCTCCCCGTCGACGACAACGACGGCGGCAAATCCCCCACCCCAGTCCCCCACTCACTCTCATTCCTCCCCAACACGAGCACCAGCTCCTGTCCCTGAGTGAAAAACTCATGACCCACATAACTCTTCGTATACGGCTGGCCATTCAGCGTCGCCGACTGAACATAGATATTCTGATAGGTGGGGTCAAAGTTGACTGTCTTCACGGTAGCCGTCTTGCCCGTCAACGGGGAGGTGATCTGGACGGTTTCAAAGAACGGCGCTGTGATAAGGTAGACGTTTTGCCCGGGGTTCGGAAACAGACCCATCATGGTCATGGCGACGAAGGAGCCCATGGCTCCTGAGTCGTCGTTGCCGGGGAGGCCTGTCGGCGTGGGGTTGAAGTACCGTGGGATGTAGTAGTGGGCGCGCGCGGTGGATTTGCCCGGCCGGTTGGCGTAGTGGTATTGGAAGACGGTGAGGAAGGCGGGCTCGTTGCCGATGTAGGTTATGCCCTGGTCGTGGAGGTAGTCGAGGCGGCGGGTGAATTGGGTTGGGCCGCCGAGGAGGGTGATGAGGGTGGACATGTCGTGGGGGACGAAGCTGGTGGGGTTGGTGGTGGTTAGTTGGGGGGTTGGTTCTAGGTGGATTGGGGATGGGGGCATACAATTGGTATTCCCAGATGCTGGACTCGAAGGTCTCGGCTCCGTTGTTTTGTAAGGAGCAGGATCGTCCGCTTGTGTCGATGTTGGAACACGTTAATGGGTCCTGGATGGTATACAAGTTAGTTCGGTTTGGGGGGTAGAGGTGGATTGGAGGAGTTACTGACTTGAGATCCCCAGGTTCCATTAAGGTACTTGGGCTGGAAGAAGCCCTGAAAGCCTGTGTCAGTGCCGTTGAGATACGAGGTTTGGTCTGCTCGGAAGAGGTTCTGCCAGTATTGCGACCTTCCCTCGTACTTTTCGGCATCGCCGGTTTTGTTCATGGCCCGAGCCATTTGGGCGATAGTGAAGTCATTGTAAGAGTATTCCAATGTGCGGGAAATGCTCCGAGTTAGGGTACCAAAGCCGATGTAATCGAAATCCTCGACGGGGATGTAGTTCAACGCCTTCCAGCTCATTAGTCCACCGCGTCCCTCGTTTGACCAATCATATGGTTCTTCCTCAGCGTCTTTCACTACAGCTGCATAGCCTGCATCCCAGTCGATGCCGTCTGAGATGCCTTTGGCGTATGCGTCAGCCAGAATGACGTCGGCGTTCGAGCCACCCTGCGTGTAGCCTAAGTGGGTTAGATTCAGATATTGCTGGATAGGGGTGATACATACCTTTGCAAAGCGACATACGGCAATCTGGAAGCCATCCTAGATGCCGCTGTGTATCGATTAATGAGCGGATTATGCGAGTGAGTGAAGCCGGATCGAAGATTGTGAGAAACGGCATCTGGGACCGGAACGAGTCCCACAGGCTGCAGAGATCAGCATTGAACAGATTATTCCGGGGTCACACTACATACCAGTAGAACGAGTCAAAGTAGGGCTCGGAGCTGTCCCACAACGGGTTCTCTCCTGTATAGTCTTGTGGGTTGACCATGGTCCGGTAGATCCCGCTGTAAAAGTTGGTAAGCATACTCGAGTTGATGCCATTACGCGACACGCGGATCGGAGCCATCTTCTCTGTCCACATGTTCACAGCTGCAGTTTGAGTCTTGTTGAAGTCAAAGTCGGGGATTTCCGCTTCTGCATTCTGACATGCCTGGTCGCTGCTGATGAAGCTCAATCCCACGCGCGCATGGATCACATTGTCCGCGGACGAATTGAATCGGATAAAGGCGCCACCCTGAGAATTGTCAATATGACATACATGTTAATCGAGGCATACGTTACGAACCGGCAGCGGGTATCCATTGATGCTCCGTGATATGGTAAGGTTTTTGACATCTACGCTGGCCCGTGCATCAACGAAGATGCCATTATCTCGTATATCACCTGCACCATGGTAGTCGGCGCAGAAGTACGGCACATAGGAGCCGCTTCCAAAGCTGGGAAGAAAGCGTGCATGGCCGGTCATGCGTCCTGTGGTAGGATCTACGGAAATAGTGCCATTGTCCTGGCGAGTATCCGACAAGTCGGACAGATCTAAGAGGATCAAAGGGCTCGACGGCTTGTCGACCGGAAATTGAAAGCGAAAAAGAGCCGTATGATGAGCGGTTGTCATGTCCACATGGATACCTGAGCTCATGTTTAGCCCAAAGTACCCGGGACTAGACTTGACTGAACCAGAGTCGTAGGAGGTCGTCCGGTCCTTCTTGGGATAAGCGCAGCCATTGACATCGTCGTCTTTGCAGGTCACGTACGGGAAGAGAGGGAAAACACCCAAAGATGGCTGGCCCCCAGTCCCCGAATCATGCATGCTAGAAAACCCGGTAATACTACTGCCATCGTAGGCGAAGCCTCCCTGATTATTGACCGAGTCCGTATCGGCGACAGCCTTGGCCATGCCGTATGGGATCGTTGCGCCCGCGAAGACATTACCTGAAAACCACGGCGGTCAGAATTTTGCCCTAAACATAGCTATTACGGGGTAAACCTCGTGCATACCTCCATTAGCACTTCCAATCAGAGGATTGATGTATTGTAGAACATCATAGTCGTCGACCGACGCGGAAGAGTTGGCGCAACCTGCAATGCAGGGGAGGGCTACGGACACAACCAAATGCTTCCAATTAATCATGTCGGCGATAAATGATTGAGCAAGGGAATGACAGAAGCGAGTGACGGGCGTGGTATATGTTTACACGATTAGACTGGTATGCTGACATGGCCATCAAGGGAGACAGGAATGAGACCATATCCCCACGAGAAGGAGGGGGGAGGGGAGTATCATCGACATCCTCAAGCATGAAGAGCAATCTCATGCCCCTGATATAAATTATTGACAAGGGCTATCGCTGCAATGTAACCTTTGTGGCGGCCGTATGACCAGTCTGAAGCACGATGATCGTGCAGGCAAGCGTTTTTAGCGTCTCTCCCTGGCATGAAGCGGAAGGGTCATCTGTACAACAGAGAGGTCTGAGTCCCGCGGGAAGCTGGGTCAGTTGCTTTTACTATCTACATGAAGCGCTACCAAGCATGATTTCTGAACCAGCATCGAAATGTGATGGAGACAGCATGGTGGAGCAAGCTGATCGACGAGACGAAGGAAGAGGAAGAGCAGGAGAGAAGGCAGATAAGATGCGGAGGCGGAGTTATTGATCGGGAAGGATTGTCAGATTTACCGAATTGAAGGACAGACCATTTAAACCCAACTTACCCCTATATTTTATAAGGGGAATCTGGAAAGTGATTTCAGTTTCTCTCGCCATCAGGGCTAGTACTGCCTCCTATTCTCCCCGACTCTTACAATGGACAATGAGGAAGTTGCAAAAGTCAATTGCAGGGCCCCTTGCAAGAGCAGCCGAGGTTCCAACGCAGTGCCGCCCCGCCCGACGCCAATCAACGGAGCCTCGACCGATTTTCACGATGTGGAAATCCATGGGACTTCCTCCTGGGAAAATGAACAGGGCGAGGGCAATTTGAATATTTCTGCTGGAACTGGTTTTGAATGGCGCCGCAAAAGCAAAACAACATCGAGGCTCTGCTGATCTGATCGAGGGGCTCCTTTGCGCTTTACCCCCCAAGTCCATTCATTCCATTCGACTCTCCTTTTTCTGTTCTTCCTATAAGAACCTAAGAAACTCTCTCGTTCCATCTCCAGTGTCAGAGAGAGTCCACAATCGTCGCCATGCCGCCGGTCCCAACAATGCTAGGCTCCACTATCATGGCCAGAGCTGTTGCTCATGCTCTGCCTCTGTCGCGTTTGCCTCCCACCTTTTCTGCTCTGTGCCGAGGCATTTCCCTATCCCAGTCTCTTGCACACAGAGTTTATTCCACTGCTTCTGCAGGTATGTGTGCCCCCCTTCCTTGCACAACACTTTATGCGTTGAATAGCGTTCAGACTATATAAAAGCACTTACTCAGAATCAAGTGCCCTAACTAATCACAATCAAACTCACAGAGGCCGCATCCCTCCCCTCACAAGCACCTCCGACTCGCTCCCGCTTTCGCCGCTTCGTCGGATTCACCACTCTAGCAGTCGTCGCTTTCACTGCTGGCTTGACCTACCAAACCTCCAAATCTGTGTCGCGCATGATGACGCTCAGTCTAGCTACCGATGAGGAGACTCTCTCCGCCTTCGTCCCTCACGATGAGTTCTCCAAGGAGGTCAACGACTATATCCGCAACCACCCTCTGGCCGTGTCGCTGCGCAACGATCCTGCTTTCACCGAGTCCCGCCCACACATGAAGATACCGGAGAAGCTGCGCGCGCGCACTCTCACAGGCGGCACACTCGCTGGACCGGACAAGATCGTGGCTCCCCCGCTAGTATTCTGTGAAGAGGGCGGAAAGAGCTTGGTCTCGATTTTCTACCTCGGACCCAACCTTTGCGGTCACCCGGGAATTGTGCACGGTGGATTGCTGGCCACATTGCTGGATGAGGCCATGGGACGATGCTGCTTTCCTGCTCTGCCGAATAATGTGGGTGTGACCGCCAACTTGAACTTGGATTATCGCAAACCCGCCATGGCCGGCAACTATGCCGTTTTGCGGGCGGAGACTGTCAAGGTCGAGGGTCGGAAGGCCTGGGTGGAAGGTCGCATTGAGACTCTTCCCGAGGACGGAAAGGAACCGGTTGTGCTCGTGGAGGCCAAGGCCTTGTTTATTGAGCCCAAGCAGGCCGCGGTAGGTTCAGATGATCGAATCATGATGCAAGACGAGGCTAATCAGACATGCAGGCTATGTCGACTCTCTACAACATGACCAAATAATTGGCACCCATCTGATTTCGATTTGATCTATAAATATTGGATACTTCTTGAGAGTCATTGCGACTCGAACATTTAACAGGCGTATAGATGGTTGGAGAGCTACATTTGGATTGTACATATAGATAACTTTTGTTCAGTATACTATACCTATTCTAGATTGTGATTTTGATTTACAAACCCAGAGCACGAGAAGAAAAGGGTCACAGTAGCTGCCGTTGTGGCCTTACCGTATAGGCATGGGGCTACAGCCCACGTTATGAAGACAGCGTGGAATTGCTATGATCATTGTCGCACAGGCGTCAACCTGACTAATGCATAACTTGTTACCGAATGGATATTCAGGTCCAGAGGATTGCAGATCCATGTTTACTTCCAATAGAGTTTCACGATCTGGAGGTTGCATTTGACGTCACACTCACGCCAGCTTGTGAACATCCCCAAAACAACACCAGCTGCTCACTACGAAGTATCAACATCCAGCATCATACTACTTCGACTGGCGCAATAATCCACGATGGCTAAAAGCATCACTATTGATCCCAATGACCTCCAGCCCCCGACAAGACACTCTCCGACCTCTGACAACCCTTCATCGAAGCTTCCCCCAGCCAAAGAAAGCAGGGTCCATCCCTCCAAACCAGGCGGGGAGAATGCGTCGATATACTTCGTTGGCACTGCAACGACGATCATGCGCGTGAATCCTTGCTAAATATAATATCAAGCTATGAACTAACAAAATGATGCAGACAATGGCACGGAATCCGCATCATGACTGATGTATGTACCACATGCGCCAATCCGGAAGTCTAGACAGATGCGGGAGATATCACTAGGATGCTAACTAACTAGCTCAGCCCAACTTCCTTCACGCAGGGGACCACGTCCATCTCGGCCCTGGGGTATCCTCGACTCGAAAGACGAATCCGGCTGTAGACCTGGAAGAGCTACCGCGGATCGACTTGGTGCTTCTATCTCATTATCATGGGTAGACATCCATCTTCACATAAGAATGGATTGGACAAGAAAGAGGCTGATGAACGAAATTGTAGCGATCACTTCGATCAGAAAGTCGAAGCCTCCCTTCGTCGTGACCTTCCCATCGTTACGACACCCCATGCCAAATCCATTCTGACTTCAAAAGGAGAAGACTCGTTCACGAGAGTATCCAGCGTGGAGGTATACGAGCAGCTTACAGTCGATATCAAACACAACCAGAATGACGCACAGCGACAGCGACGGCCCAAGCTCCGGATAACCGGTATGCCAGGGAAACATATCCCGGTTGGAAAGCCGTTAGAGAAGCTGAATGAGCTGGTTGGGGCGGTATGTTATTTCCTCCACGTATAATCTAGCCTGACAGACATTGATTATTACGATGGAATAGATCCCGCCTACAAACGGATGGATGCTCGAGCTAGGCTACGGTGACAACAACGACAACGCAGACAGTTTCACCTCCGGTTATAGAATCTACATCTCAGGGGACACGCTCATGTTCGATGATCTCAAAGAGATTCCCCGTCGGTATGCAGGACAACCGATCGACCTGATGCTGGTTCATCTAGGTGGCACGACAGTACCCTCGCCGTCCATGTTGCCATTAGCGATGATGGTAACCATGGACGCGAAACAGGGAGTGGAACTGATCAAGTTGATTCGACCACAGGTGACTATCCCCATTCATTATGATGACTATGACGTGTTTGCAAGCTCGTTGGATGATTTCCGGGCGCAAGTACAGGCCGCTGGGTTGGATGGGGAGGTTGTGTATCTGGACCGGGGAGACGAGTATCAGTTTCGTGTCTTGTAGGATAAGAACAATTGAATGGATGGAGGGATGGATGGCAAGAGGCAAAAAGAACTTAGTTCACATCTCAACCAGGGCTGACCACGGCATCGCACCCCGCCAATCAGCACCTCTCGATCTTAGTCGGACTCGTACATCCCGCCCAACCAGCGATATTCCCTATCTTGCCATGGCGAGATATCGTAACCCTTTATTACTTCCATTCAATAAGATCTTCTATGCGTTCATCGACCTGTCAACGTAATCACCCCAGGTACAAATATCTCAAAAATAGGACCTTGTCACACTACATCTGCAGTGAAAGACGGAAGTTAAAATACAAAGAAAAAAAAAAGGTACCCTTATGATGTCAGAGTGAACCGGTAGTTACCACTTAATTACCCATCACTACTCATCCATCATCTGCTACATGACTTATAACTACTGAGTGAATAAAACAACCAACCAACCATTGAATACAAAAGAGAGACGTACTTACAGTACTTTCTTGCTCATAAGATCCCAACTCAGCCCATATAAAGTACCTTATCACCTCTGCAGATCATCCTCAACGTCTTAGACGTCATAGTGACTCCAATCAATCGTCTACTTACCCCAAAACGGGCTTCGATATCTCATCTCTCCATCCAATCCACTGGCACTGTCACTGCTGGCTTTGTATAAAAAAAAGAAACTAAAGGGCGGAATACGCCGCTGATCTTCGTCCCTTTCACTTCAATCTTAATCCAATCTAATCTATCAAAGATCAACATCTTCAAACCAAGAAGACCAGATCGATAGAGAAACGAAGAGAGAGAGAAAAAAATGTCCTACAACAATAACACCTACCACCCCATCGCCTCAGCAAACAAAGTCCCAACCATCCACACAATCCATCCTATGAAACGCTCGACGTCCTACTCTCCCGCCGCCCAGGAGAGCGGCGACGACGAGTACAAGCACCACCACCACCACATCAAGAAAGACAGCGCGAGCAGCACAGTAGCATGTGGCAACGACCATAAAGTGAAAGCGGCGCTGACGGAGCTTCTCAACGACGACGGTGTGAGATCCAATGCGCGCGGAAGCAGATCGGTGCAGAACTTGCTTATGGATACCGAGAAGGCGTTGAGGAAGCAGCGCAGGGAGTCGCTGTCGGGACGGGCTTCGATTTCGGTGGCGAAGTGAGGTGATATCGGTGTCGATATGGGGATTTATCTTTAATTATTTGGTGATGACTTGATTGTCGAATGGTGGCTGCTTTGCGCTGTATGCAGGGTGTGTATGTGGCATGGTCGTCGAGTCGAATTCTCCTCGTGCTGGTCTGGTCGGTACAAGAGGTGCGCGCTGTGTCGATGAGATGAGGGTCTAAGCTGCTTCTGATGATGGTGATGCTATGTGAGCTGGCTGCATATGGAGCTGCTTGGTTCAATATGGTTTCATGCAGGGTAGTAGGGCTGGAGGCTGGAGGTTAGAGGCACAGTTGATGCGCCGTTGCAGGAGCCGGAAACGATACATGTCTATTGGTGGCAGCACAGTACACTTTACAGCCTTAAGGAGCAGTCGCAAAGGGTTTCTATGCCAGATATGTCAATTAATTTATCCTTGTGTTTATGCACATTTTGAACCCACTGGTATTGTGTTCTACAACTGTAGAGAATAGTATAAGATGCGGCGCGGCCTATATACTACCTACTTACTAGCTTATAGTTAGTAGTAGGTGGCCTCTTCGATGCATAACACATCAACAACAGTAGTATAACCCTAAGCCATCAAGTCAGACAATAAACACCGTAATAGACGAAATAAAATAGCATTCCCTCCCTCATGGAGAAGTAGTATAACAACCCAAAATCAACATATGCCAATCAAACCCACCCAACGAAGCCAACCACCGCCGCCGACCGCCTCCGAGTGACGACCGACCGACCGACCGACCGCAATCGATCCTCCTCCGCACCAACAGCTCCAGCTCCAGTCCAACTCCAACCAACCTCCCCCCTTGACCTCTCTCTCTCCACAGCCCATCTTCCCTAACTACTTTCCCCGTCTGCACCGCCAGACCACATGCGTGGCACCCCCCTCACACCCAACTAGTTACTAATATCATATACCCCCCCGGCCACCATGTCCAAATCCACCAAGTACCTCCTCGTCTCCTTCCCCACGTCCATCACCCCCTCCCACCACCGCGACGACGCCCTCGACGCCATCTCCGCCACCGTCTCGTCCGAAAATGGCTCCGTTGCGCCGTTTCCCATCCCCGAGTTCAAGATCGGTACGCTCGATGCTCTGGTGCAGCAGGCCGACGAGCTGGCTAAGCTCGAGGCCGGCTGCCAGGGGGTGGTGGCCAAGGTTGGCGATGCGCTGAAGAATATTCTGGAGGGGGATGAGGCGCAGATTGATAAGATGAAGACGGTGAATGATAGTATGTTTTATCACAGCATATGTTAGTGGGAAGTGACGTGTTATGTGTTGACGGGGTCTTTTTCTAGAACCGGTGGATCAGTACCTGCGCACGTTCTCGTGGAATAAGGTCAAGTATAGGGCTGATAAGCCGTTGGGGGAACTGATTGATTTGCTGCAGAAGGTAAGAGTCCTAGCATATGGATAGGGGTGGTGGAGCATAGCTGACGGGTGAACAGGAAGCAGCGAGTATCGATAACGACATCCGCTCGAAATATACCCAGTATAATCAGGTGAAGAATACGTTGGCGACGTTGCAGCGGAAGCAGACGTGAGTTTGTTACTTTACTTTACTTTACTTTACGCTCCATATCAGAAGGAGGACGTTGTCTGATCTGCTCTACTATAGGGGCAACCTGTCCACCAAATCCCTCTCCTCGGTCGTCGACCCCCGCACCCTCGTCCGCGACTCCGAATACATCGAGACGCACCTTGTCGCTGTGCCCGCCCAGCAAGTCAAGGAGTTCCTGAAGATCTACGAGACCGTGGCGCCGATGGTGGTGCCGCGGTCGGCGACGCTGGTTGCCTCGGACGATGATTTCACACTGTACGCCGTCACGACGTTCAAGAAGCATAGCCTGGAGTTTGTGCACAAGTGCCGTGAGAACAAGTGGATTCCGCGCGACTTCAAGTACATCGAGGGAGGCAAGGAGGAGGAGCGGAAGGAGTTCGAGCGGGTGGGCGGTGACGAGCGCAAGCTCTGGGGAGAGACGCTCCGGCTGGGACGGACGGCGTGGAGTGAGGCCGTGATGGTCTGGATCCATGTGTATGTGCTACGGGTGTTTGTGGAGACGGTGCTGCGGTATGGACTGCCGCTGGACTTTGTGTGCACGTTGATCCGGGTGAGTTAGATCTTTACTCTTGTTGATATTATGTGTTTGTTGCTAACTAGACCAGACTCCCGGAACGAAGCAGGCAGACAAAGCGAAGCGCAATCTGGACGACAAGTACTCGTACCTGGCGGGCAATGCGTTCGGGCGCGACAAGAAGGGCCGAGTGAAGCGCGACGACCCGGGCGAGATGCACGGCGAGGGCGGGCCGGAGTATACGGCATATGTGTATTATGAGTTTGAGTTCAACTAGCCAGCGGCCTTTGCTAGTTTGCACCATTGTTTTATGCTTGGATCTATTCTCTTCCTGTTTATATGTCTAGCGTACGTACATAGAAGTACTCCACCCCCAGCCTAAGAATCTATTCAAATGTAGTAAGCAGTAAACAGTCAAACCCAAATGATATATACAACCAACAAATCTCTATCATCTATCTATCTACTCTAAACCCCCATCCCCACCAGTGGAATACTCTACTCCTTCTTAGCAGGCAAATACCCCTGCTCATCCAAATACCGAATAATCTGCGCAACGGCCTCCTGCACGGGCACCTCATGATTCTTGACATGGACCTCGGGCTTAACCGGCGCCTCATACGGGGCACTAATGCCCGTAAACTCCTTAATCACACCCTCCCTAGCCTTCTTATACAACCCCTTAGGGTCCCGCTGCTCCGCCACCTCGACAGGCACATCAACGTACACCTCAACGAACGGCAGACCCGTCTCCTCTCCGGGCGTGGGCACCTCATGCAACTGTCTCGCGGTGTCGCGGTCCTTGCGGTACGGCGAGATGAAAGAAGTGATGGCGATAGCGGACGAATCGGCAAACAGCTTCGCCACTTCGGCGATCCGTCGGATGTTCTCGTTCCGGTCGGCTTCGCTGAATCCCAGGTCCTTGTTGAGTCCGAACCGGATGTTGTCGCCGTCTAGGCGGTAGGCGTGCACGCCACGGTCGCGGACGAGTTGGTGCTCGAGTTCGACGGCGAGTGTGGATTTGCCCGAGGCGGAGAGGCCGGTCAGCCAGATTGTGAGGCCGCGCTGGGAGCGGAGGGTGTTGCGCTCGGTGCGGGTGAGGCCGCTGGCGTGGTAGGTGATGTTGCTGTTTGGGGGATTGGTTAGTTGGGGGGGTTGGGGATAGGGGATTGGGGACGTACGTGGCCATTTTGGAGGGTTGGGTTATTGGGAAGAGGAGGAGAATGGGATGGGGTTTGGAGAGAGAGGGAAGAGGAGGAGGGGTTGAAGTACGTAGAAAAAGGATTGGGATAGAAAAGGGTGAAACAGCGGGGCGGGCGCCGATCGCGGGGTCGATTTCATTTGACGACTTGCACTTACGTACTCCTGCGTTTCCTTGGATGCGTTTCTGCCGGGAGAGGAGTCATTGGCTCGGAGCGATGGGCGACGTTACGTACCTCGCTTTAATGCCATGTGTCTAGAACGTTAATTCATCTAGGGTGATGGATTGATTGATATTGATTATCTATCTAGGTGTTGTATGTCAGTTACTCTACTGCTTGTCGGCCAAGTCAATCACTCGCTTTGCTGCCGCTTCGAAACTGTCAAATGCCTCCAGTGGCAACCCACTCTCCGCGATCTATCCGGAACATTAATTAATTAGCTTTTCATGATTAAGTGTCGGAAAAAAGTTTAAGGAATCAAACTGACCATCTGCTGCCCACGCTCCTCGTTTGTCCCGCGCAGTCGCACCACCACGGGAACTGTCATCTCCATCTCCTGAAATGCGAGGATGATCCCTTCCGCGATCATGTCGCACCGTGTCAAACCCCCGAAGATGTTCACGAAGATCGCTTTCACGCGTCGGTCCGACGTGATGATCCGAAATGAGGACTTGACTGTCTCGGTCGTGGCTTTGCCGCCCGTGTCCAGGAAGTTCGCGCAGTGTCCGCAATGGATCGTCAGCGCGTCCACCGTGTTCATTGCCAGGCCCGCGCCGTTCACTACGAGGTCAGTGGGATGGTAACCTCCAGATGTGGGGGTTGGGGGATGTACTTACCTAGGGTTCCGATGCTTCCTTTCCCTTCCAGTCTGTGCTCGGTCAGCGTAGGTTACACCGGGATGACTGGGGTGGCTTACTTGACGTAGACAATGCCATCCTTCTCGGCTTCGACTTCCTCAGGCACCTCTTCTGCTAGGTTTCTCAGTTGCTGTACGTCTTCCTGGCGTCCTGAGCTTCGAAAAGCAGCGTCATCGAACCCAAAGCGGGCATCGCGGACTTCAAAGGCGCTTGTGGCGTTGGCGCGTACTTCTAGGAGGTACGCCTCCTTTTCCTTAAAAACCCGCCATAATCCCTGCAGCAGCTGCGCCAGGTTGTCGTGTGCCGTTGCGGGAAGCTGCAGGTGGGAGGCAACCGTTTCAATCAGGGGGTTTGTGCTGCTAAAGTCCGTGCCCTCGTATGCAAATGGGAACCGGCCCGTCTGTGCTGGTTCGAAGCCAGCGGATGTGGAGGCAAGAATACACGGCGACAATGCTGTCCTATCAACGGTGAGGGACAAGAAGATGTCCGATTCGGAGGGTGCAGCCTCGTTGACAGGGATTGATTCTTTTCTGAGCATATCGAGAGCCTGGAACGGCTTAACGAATAGACTTCTTGTTTGCTGGGGCTGAGAGACGCCGTAACGGTTTGGTCTGATGCGCCTCATTGTATGTAGGCCTCGCCGCTGATTCCCGCCATTGATAGACTACTCCATGTAAGTAAGCTGTCGTGTTTCGCATGTAACAGACCTACAGTAGTGCCCACGCGCCCGCGAGTTTTCAGAAGTGACTTCATTCCCTCTCCGAACTTCTCGGGATGGTTGACCATCATCACGCCGGCCCGTTCGAGCGCTTCATACTTGGCCTTCGCGCCAGGCTCCCCAATTGCTGTCCATGCACCTGCGTGGCCCATGATCCGTCCAGGAGGAGCATGCAAGCCTCCAACGAGGGCCATTATCGGTCTGTACTTGTCAGCATTGCTTCCCATGAGAAAGAATTGGCTCTCCACATACTTGGGGTTAGCAGTTCTCTGATTGTAGTCCTTGATCCACTCCGCTGCATCGATCTCTGCCGTACCACCAATCTCGCCAACCAGGATAATTCCCTCGGTGTCAGGGTCTTCTTCAAAGATCTTCAGTGCATCGACGAAATTAGTTCCCGCTAGGACATCTCCTCCCATGCTAATACAGAGACTTTGTCCGAGACCTGCCCGCGTTGTGGACGCAACAGTCTCATAGCTCAGAGTCCCTGACTTCGCGACAATGCCAATATTGCCAGGTGCGAAGCAGGGCAGAGGCTGGAATCCGATCCGGCATTTGCCAATTGCAGAGATGATTCCCGGGCAGTTGGCACCGACCAATCTCGTCTTCGACTGTGTCTTCAGCATGGAGTGGATCTAAGCACCATTAGTTCATAGCTCTCACAGACAACGTTTTCAAACCGGATTGCTTACTCGAAGAATATCATGAATAGGAACGTGTTCTGCCACTGCTACAACAAGGGGGATTTCCGCTTCTATCGCCTCTTCTATCGCCTTGGCAGTCTGGTTACCTGGCACGTAGATCGCAGATGCGTCCGGTTTCGCTCTCTCTTGGGCCTGTCTGTGTAAGTAATATACCCGGATAAGTAGACAATCAATCATACCGCTTTTACAGATGGGAACACTGGAAGACCGAGATGCTCTCCTTCGACGCCCGGCTTAACGCCCCCGACAATCTTCGTGCCCCATTCTAAGGACTCCTTGACGTTGGCAGTGGCCTGGAATGTTAACTAAGACCTATGGCAATTACACTAGAAGCCCGCTTACCTGTCTACCTAAACTTATTGTCAATGTATGATCGTAGATATTGAGAGACAGACTCACCTGTAAATCCCTGAAACAAGACCCGCGTGTGAGCTCCTATCTTCAAATTCTGTAGCGTGTCCGCATAACTGCAGGTCCTGGACGAGGTCGAGAACCCCTGTGATTGTCTCACTGAAGCACGGACGAGAGGTCTTCTCGCCGGCGTAGACAATGAAGCCAGGCGGGACATGGTGGGTTCCGTGCTGTGGTTACTTGATGGAGATCAATAGCCGGCTATCTCAGTGGGGGGTTTTATAAGAACATCAATTGCGATAATGATAGGTTTAAATGATGGAAGTGACAACAAATCAGTGACTACCTCTCACGGCCACTTCGGAAAGTAGAGCAATATCAACAGCCAGTTGCTAGACTGGTCTACAGGCCTGGAGAGAGTTGAAGGGGCGGAAGACTAACCTCGGGAATTGATGTCTTATAAGACGGATACTCCGCCGGTCTCGGACAACCTGCCGACTGTTTCCGAGGTACTAAATAAGAGGAAGTGGGCTCTCGGGACAGTCATGCATTGCTGTGATTGGTGGTCTCGGAAACGTGTTGCCGGGTAGCACTTGGGACTCGGAAAGGCAAATGCCACATGCTCCGCCGGCGGTGTTAAGAGCCACAGCTTTGGTGTAGAGGCTGAAGAAAGTGCAGATTGGCACTGAAGATATTAGTGCATGTATAGCGTGCAGACTGCCCTATTCTTATTTTCAAGTTCGCGTATGTTTTCATCTATCTGGTGGGCATTTGTAGGTAGTGGCGTACAGCAATGCTCGGTGCAGTATATCCTTATAAAATGATATTGTACCAGCCCCCAACACCTCGTGAGGTACATAGACCTTTCAATTGTTCTTTTACGGCCTCTACTCGATGGAATCATGTCTTAGCCTGCGTTCGCAGTCATGGTGCACTAGCACTAATGATTCCTGTCAGCAAGTATGTTCTAGATCTCTTGGGCAGCACAACTTGGTGATAAGACTTCACATGAATGAAAATCTTACTCCCTTCGCCCACAAAAAAGGCAATCTTATCGAATTGCATCGACTAGTGAGAGATTGGTAGATGATGTCAAGTGGTCTATTTTTATGAATTCTAGGCTCTGGCAACAAGGATTGGAGATCACCCCACACTCCCAACTGCTTAGTCAGTATTTCAGTACAGAATGCGAACAATGCGAATGTGAGAACATACTTTGGACTACAAAGTAAGTGTCCCAGATATTGAGAGATACACATCCTGAGATCAGATCACACGACTCCAGTAATCCTTGCTAGTAGCGTTACAGCCTTGAACTGGGGTATGTAGATCAATGACCCAACTCTCCCATCACAATGTACACACAGCAAGAAACCGGCCAGTCAAACAACCAATCTGTGCCATGCTAAGTCACTTCCCAACGCAGATCAGCCACCACACAATGGTGGAAACGTGAACCGTTCCCCCAAACTGCAAATTCTCGCCAGAAAGACAAAAGCGATGGACCAACTCGAACTCTGGCCAGCCCCAAGCAGAGCCAATCACGGGGCGCGCCTTCCCCGAAAGGCGGGGTCGCACTGCCGGGACTGACGCCATTCATGATTTCACCTTTTCGCTTTGCTTGAAAGCGGTCGGACCACTCTGCATTGTTCTGCTACGAACCACTCCAAGATCTTCAATAATAGAATTTCATCAATTCGTAGTCGATATGGCGGCCGCACATGCTAGTTCCAATTCCAAGGGTTCGTTCCATATCCCCCTTTTATTAACCTTCCCTTCTCCCTCCCCAATTGTACTGCCGCCGCAATAACTGAGCCCCTCCTCAATCATCTCTTCCTTTCCTTCGCTATTCTTTCCTCCTTCCCCAGACTTCCCCCCATTGTTACTACTTCCTCACCCCACAGTACCCCATGGTACTCCCATAACATAATCAGCTGCAACAAACACCAACACTAACACCACCCCCAATGTCCGTTCCAGCCACACCACCAGCAACAACACCGCCAACAGCATCAGCATCAGCAACCTCCGAACTACAATCCTCTCTCCGCGAACTCTCCCTCGCCAATAAAAGCCCCATTAAAGATATTCCCCGACCGACTCCCCCCACCTCTGTCCCAAAACAACACCATCACACGGTGAAGAAGAAGAAAGAGCCTGCTCCCGTCGCCGACTCCTGGGAAGATGAAGTAGACTCAGCCTCCGCCTCTGACCCCGAAGGAGGAGCAGCCGACATCTCATCCACCTCCCCCGCTACCTCCTCCCGCTTCGCCAGCCCCGCATTGTCACCTTCTATCCGTTACACTGAAGGCCCCCTAGACCCCCCGCCCACGCCTATCTCACCGCAGACGTCTGCATCGCAGCCGCCGTGGCCTACTTATGGTGGACGATCAGAGGCGAGATCGCCGGCGAGGAGGCCCGAGAAGCAGACGGCTGTAGCGGGGAGGATGATTGCAGGGGCGCTGGGAATTCGGGCGCCCAAGCGCACGGAGGAGCAGCGGGCGTATGACCGCGCGGTGAAGGAGCAAGAGATGAAGCGGCGGAATAAGGAAAAGGAGGAGGCAGCGAAGGCGAAGGAAGAGGAAGAGAAGGCTAAGGCGGCAGTGTGGGACATGTGATTGACACTATCTTATATCAACGGAGTATCTACTCCGTATTGCTGGGTGTGGGGTTGGTGGAGATACATATTCTTTGCTTCTACTTTCAGCTTGGAAGGTGACGAGGTGTGCCGGGTGCTGCGTTTCTCATCTTCTTTTCGCTCCTTAATTGTCTGCTTGCGGGGTGGGTCGATTGTCTGGTTTCTTCTTGTCACTTTCCTGTCCTACTACATACACTCAGACTCACTGGGTCCAAACTATACAGGGCTGTAATATAGTCTTTCGGTGAATCTATACCAGTTCAGACGGATGCACTTCCAGAAAAGGAAACCCCTATCTAGTTTTGCAAAAGCTGCAACCCAGCGTAGCTTGAACATAGTGCTCGAGAACCTATCCAAACGGTAGACATCTGCACACAGCAGATGCTAAACACTCACTCTTTTCCTTTCTCAGCTCCCCAAATCCTTGCAAAACAGCGAAGATAGCAAAAGAAATGTAGAGTAACCATTCATCATATTTTCGTCGACGTCAACAACCCTCTTATTTATCACTCTGAAAAATTCCTGATCCCTACCCAGATACACATCTCATTATAGGACGCTCTCCAAATCCGGGCCCGGCTCCGACCCATCAACCAAGTAGAACACCATGTTGCGCCTTGTATCTGTTCAGCAGAACGGAAGAAACAGATCGGAGGATGGTCGGCAGAAGATAAAGTTGGGTAAGTAAAGGTAAGAAACACAACGGGGCTGGTAATGTATTTTGAAAAGACATAATAATCATGATTCATAGAGAGAGAGAGATTATGCTATCTAGCCACCGATTTGTTCCTGGTGCACTTCGAGAGTGTCCCCATCGGCCATCTCGAGCTACATAATTTCAGGATAAGTTAGCCGTGTGCTTTGCGGTTCTCTAGGGTCTGTCTGCCAGAGGAGATGGAAGGTGTTCGTGCGGGGAAGGGTGCCGCAGTGCGTGCACATAAGCACATCACAGAAGAGAAGGGTTGTCATTGCTAGAACATACAGTATCGGGTGTATCTTCAGGGCGCACACGGGTACCATCGAATAGGAAGCGGACCGTAGACGGCTGCTTTCCTTGCCTTTCGCAGAACGCGTCCATCAACTTCTTCAACTGGGTTGTGCGCTTGATCTTGAAGAACACTTCATTGTTGTTGTCGGTCACCTTGATGTTGAGGTGCTCGACAGCCGCGGGGGCCTCTCCGGAGTCGGCCATTGTTGTAGAAGGGAATAAAGACGATGGAGGGCTTGGGAACTGGAGGAGGGCGAGTTGTCAGCTTTGGGAGGACTTCCCGTCGCAAGTTAAGTTCGTCAGACTGCGGTGACTTACCCTGTTTGCCGCTTTGAAGGGATCGGGGTTATGCGCTAGAGCACTGGCGGAGAGATGGACGAGGAGAAGAAGCTGGTGGACGTGAGATATGACTGAGAGAAGAAGAAAAAGGATGGGGTGTTGAAACTGAGCTGGAGGCGATGAAGGCAACCCCCACCAGTTATAAATATCGGAGAATCTATTTTGCGGCGCAGGTCCAAGTTCCCGTTGCTTCGCTGCAGTGAATGAGATCAAAGGTGTTACTACTACTTCTGATACTTGATTTTCTCTTGATACATCTTTCAGTGTTGGCTCATGTTTTTTTCAGTTTTCTGATTAGGTTTTCTTTTGTTTCAGTCCTAGCCTCTGGGATCCTTCATTTGTGATTTCACTTCTGTCTTGTTGCCAGTTCTTTGGCTCAGTATAGTATATTGCGTCATGGTATGAGTGTAACCATTGACTCCCGTTTGAGTTGAGAGTAACAGATAGCAGGGCGGACTTAAGGAAGACATAGCATTTGACCCGCCTTGCCATCCACGAGCTGTAGGTCACTGATACTAGTTGGAACATTTGTTTGGTGCATGACTAACAATTGCCAGTGTGCCATACAAGGTGACCAGCACCATAGAACATCCACGTGCAGAAACGGCACTAATTCTTGCAGCATGCCTCACGAAGAACTCGTACCAGGAAGAGAAATGTCAATCCCAGATCAATGCTCTTTATGAATGCTGCAATGCCTTCTACCAGGCACGAGGAGAGGACGCAAAGACCCCAAGCTGTCCTAAGCCCAATTTGCTGCGTCTGAAGATGAAGCAACGCGGCATGGAGCCTTAGCTTGTCTTGAAGAAAATTTCGTCTCTCATCAAAGTTCTACGGACCGTGTACATACTACCAATTATACCGTCGACAATAGAGTAGAGACCACGTCATTTAAGGCTCTTGACAACGTGTCGAGTTGTTGCCGGAAAATAGTGACAGTGATAAGACTTAGTAGACAATCCATCTCAGTTGAAACTGAAGCTGGAATGTGACAATTCCCTTGCAGTCTGAGCTCCCATTCGAGGAAAGAGCTAGGCTAGTTGTGAAAATTGCCAAATTTCTCTAAGACAATCTTGAGCACGCTGAGAGGCCGATTGACCTGAACGAAGATTGAAGCGCTCGTTCCGAGACTCTAATGATTGCCTATAGACATTTGATGAAGAAAGAAAAAAGAAGAAGAGGGAAAAGCCGAAGTGCGCGAGTTTTTATGGTGTGTTGTTGGCGCTAGTCCCCATGTGGGCTAGTGGCCCGTCGGCCCAAAACACGGCCAAAAAGAGTAAGACGAAGAAGATTGGAAGTTGCAGTTCTTCCCCGAATCCTCCTGGGAAGCTAAAGGTCCCTTCGCAAACACCCTCCATCTCTATCATCGCCCTTCCCCCGACACACCCCTTCTCTCCCGGTCAACCTCCCCGGCCTTTCCTCGCGCTCATGGCACCCTTAACCAGGGCCACGGGCTCGGGCGCCCCTGCCGGGTTCACGTCCATTAATGTGAGTTGCTTTGTTTTGGCTTTCTTGTTAAGGCGGTGCGCTGACCGACCGATGTTTTACTGTCCAGCCCTCTCAACAACCAACGAACGAGTCGGATGTTATTGAAATCGAGGATGATGACGATGAGCCCATGGACGAAGAGGGAGACGACATGGAGCCCAATGAGGATGAAGACATGGAAGATGATTACGTTGACGAAGACGAGGAATCAGAGGAAGAGGCCGCTGACGCGCTGAATGGGAGCGAATCACCACTGGATCTGGGGTTCGCTCCAAATGGACATAGTATGCTCCTCATGACTTCTGGGAGTGCTAGGAAGGCTGACTTTGCTAGATGGTATAGACGCCGCAACACCGGACTTGTTTACGTCGGCAGGCGCGCAGGAGGCCTTGCATCCCCTTCGCCGCACCGCAGATCGAGTCACGCGCCAGATTGAGGCCTTCGCCGAAAAACTGGATCGTTTCAAGCAAAAAGGAAACCGCTCGGAGGACTTGTCGAACTACCAAGCTGCCTATAACCTGGTGAAGAGCTACCAGACCCTCGCGCAAGATGCAATCAGCGACATCACGAAACAAAACACGTTGAAACGGGCCAAGCTTGGATTGGGTGCTGCTCGAAGCAACGGATCCGCATCGTTCGATCCCAAGACTGCAGAGGAGCTCCGGCGTCTACAATTGGAAGCCGACACTTGGCGACTTCTCCTCAACCTTATTAGCAGGGACGATCCGCCCCGCAGAGCCGACTCCAAGAAGTCGCAAGAATCTGTCTTCCAGAATCTACACCGGTACTCCCCTGATCGCGACGTCTGGGACCAATTCTTGACTGCGGACCATTATGCGACGGAATGCGTTATCATCCTGAAGTGGCTCGAACGCTCGGCAAAATACAGCACGCAAGATGTGGACTATCTAATCTCTGAGTTAGAGTCACAGGCCGAAAGAGGGCAGGGATCATGGTCCCATGGATGGCTTTACACGAAGGAAACAATCAAGGGACAGAAGCGACTGCGAGCCTGGCCCCAACCCCTCGAACCCAATGACCCGGGCATCACCGCTACGCTTCTGAGCTCGGATAAGTCGGAGCCACTAGTCACCCAATTAGATCCGGACGCCGTCACCCGTCAAAGGCAGAGCCTACAGAAGCAGGATCAGTTCTACGAGCGCGCTACATGGATGACGTGCTGGAAGATGCTCAGACATGGGGAGAGTTGGTTCAAGATCCGCGAATGGTGTGCAGAGCGGTTGGAAACATGGCGGGCCGTCAGCATCTGTGGTACAAGCGTGGATGTTGAAACACACACTGGAAGGACCCCTGTTGATGATGGGCACACACGCCTGATGAACTGGCGTTCCCAGGAATCCTGGAGGGCCGCCTGCAGTGCTTTGGCACGGAGTCCACACGCCGAGGATTTTGAGCGGGCGGTTTATGCGTTGCTCTGCGGCGAAACAGAGGCCGCCTTCAAGGTCTGTCATACCTGGGACGACTATCTCTTCGTGCACTTCAACAGTGTCCTCCTGTCTCGCTACCAGGGATTCTGCAAGCAGTTCCAGCGGAAGCTAAGCCATTCGCCTACAACCCCCGTTGCCTTCGTGCCCGAGCCGGCAGGATATGCCGAATTCAACAAATTCGTGCAGTACACTAGAGGAAACGAGCGCGTTGGAAGCGAGGCACGGAACCCGTACCGCACTATCCAGGCGACAATCTTAGGCAAAGGATACGACACATTCTTCTATTCCTTAGCCCAGGCAGTATCCCAGGTTGCGAACAACAAATCTGATGCGTCATCCTTCGTTCCTGATGTGTCACCTACCTCCGTCGATGACAGTCTTGTCATTGCTGCAGAGGACGGCGATGCGCTCCGGATTGCCACCCATCTTTACATCGTCGCTCATTCCATTGGATACGTTCGCGCCGACACTCAATTCTACAACACTGCCTGCGTGAACGTAATCGGGTATATCGCTAACCTGGAATCCCTCGGTGTTGTGGATATCATTCCGCTTTATGCTTCCCTTCTCCCGGAGGATTTGACGAGGTCTGTTCTGGCTCAGGTATTGATCGAGATTGTTGATCCACGGGAGAGAAAGAACCTGGTTCGACTGATGGAGAAGCACGGTATCGACGTCGAGGCTGTTCTGCAGACCCAATGGGAGTGGCTGAGCGTGAATGTCTCTGCCATCGACCACTCCAGGACGGTCAAGCGGCACCCGAAGGTTGTCAACCGCAAGGATGGCAACCTTGAATTGGTCCCGGTCAAGACGGATTTCATTGGAACCGAGATATCTGAAAGTGATGAGAATGTCATACGCAGTCTCGAATGGCTTCGCTACGTGGATGGACAGTGGGGGCGGATCTGTCAGCTCGGATCTTTGTTGTACCGCAAGTTCTATAGTATGGACATACCCTTGTTCCGTGTAGGAGATGCAAGGCTAACAATATCACAGTTTCGGGTCGACTCTCTGCAGCTCGGGAGCTGTGTCGGCGGATGAAGCTATCCGACATCTCGCGGGAAATGTTCGGCTTTGACATTTCGGAGTTTAGCCTCGATGTGGCGGCGATGCAAGAGGTCAACACCCCAGAACCTTCCAGTCCGACGAAGTCGAGATTGCTTAGCTCCCCTCACAAGCGTTCTCGGTCGCGAACCAACGGAGTTGCGTCGGGAAGCCAGGCGAGCATCTTACTCCAGCAATCGCAGACCATGCGTGACCTGGAGGTCCTTATCCTGGCATTAGACGCTCTGGAGAGATATGCCATTATCTATGAAAAACTAGAAAAGTATGTCATGACAATCTATGGATGGGTTTGCGTTGTACTTACCACTGGCGCAGCAACAAACGGCGGCGTGATTCGGGTATGCTCAAGGACCTGAGAGAAGGGCTACAGGAAGCCCTAGATGACACTAGCGTCCAAATCGATGTCATGTTGGACGAGTGGCTGGTCAACTACGAGAATGGTAAGCAACCTTGTCTGCTTGAGGTTGAGTGGATCAATACTGACATGGTCAATATAGAAGCCGAGAAAGAGGAGTTGGAGGAGATTCGTAACACCTACATTCCCGAAGTGTTCCTCGATTACCACAACACGATGTATTTCTCGGCTCATGTGCTCAGCAGCGAGCTCTTGGTGCAGTGCATGAACTTGGCAACCCAGGTGGCCGAAGTGGAGCATCTGACGAGCAGCTTCGTTGCGGCCCGCCGCGTTGGAGAGCTGATGAACGCGTTGGCAGTGTCCAGCAAATCCATGGTGAACACGCACGCAAAGCCCGGCGTCAGGCTACTGGGAGGCGAGTCGTTGGGGATCTGGGCCCCGCAGGTGTCTGACGAGGAGAATGACACGACCCAGGAGCAATGAAGCGTGTATTTGAACTAACGATGGTGGACCGGCGTGTATATTACCCTCATGTTTCTCGTTTTCTATGACTTCGCCAAATCTCTTCTGGCCGGAAGGATTATGGGCATCTTGCATGTACAAGGGTCGGAGGGATGATCATATCCGGCGCATTTCCAGGATTTACATCGATCTGAAAATAAAGAAATCTAACTATGGATTTATCAGATGGGTTCATGTCAAACTTAGCGAACTGCGTTTTTCAAGTGGGGAACTAGCAGATTCGAAAATAGCGAGTACTACGGCAAGTAGAGGCTGACCTGATAAGAACGTGGAATTTAATAGAAAGAACAAAGAAGAATATCGAAGTTCAGCTGAGAGAGCAGGTAAGCTAAGCTAAGCTGATCGTAAAGTCTCTGGTCCAGTGAGGTCTTGTCTCATTCTAACTTCGGGCGGTTTGATAAAAACAAGATACTGAAGATGCGGGAACTCACTCAACCGTATATTGGTCACATTGGCAATGAACCGGCGAGTGATGTCTTTGACTGTTATTGGCGTCAGAGGGGCATGGGACCCTTCGTTTCGGAAAAGTTGTTCGATGAGTGGGCGTTGGAGAAAATACAGTGTCCTGTTTCGAGGGTGTGTGTTTTGGGATTGCTGCACATCCGTTATGAGGGATGATAATATGGAGGAGCCTTCGCGGTTTGTCTTGACCCATGGCCATCTGGTCGCTGATAATATCATGGTAAAGCATGGCCGGATTACTGGTATTGTGGGGTGGAGATGCAGTGCATTTCTCCCTGGATATATGGAATATGCTATGGCCACAGTTATTCATCGTAAACGTGTCCAGGACTGGTGGCTTCCTGTGTTGAAAAGGGTTTTGGGACCGCCGGATTACCTTCGGTGTGGAGTTTGTCGCTGCGGCTCGCGTTAAGGGGTTTAAATAGTCAGTGACTACTTAGTTGTTTTTCTTGCTTATGACTATCTAGAGTACTTCGGTATGTGTAGTATCTCTCCATGTCATCTTTAGGGGACTCGCTTTAGGACTACTAGTCTGCGTAGATATCACGCAAGTTGGCAGCTAGGATCTAAGTAACTAGAACTTCTTTCTTCTCTCGCCAGTTTCAAGTCTAATGTCTTCCTTGAATATAGTACTCCTAATCAGTCATCGAACCAGCAGTATATACTATATACCACCATCCTACCTTGTCAATACATCTACTCAACCTCAACAACACAAATTACAATATAATCTCCTCCTTTCTCCTCCGAACAGACACCTTTGCCACCGGATCCGCCTGCCATATGAACCCATACTTCCTCACTGTCGGGCTCCACCCATCAGCCACCTTGAAATCATACTCTGAAAGAACATGACACAGAATGATCTTATTCAAAGCAATCGCAAAGAAACGTCCAGGACAAGCATGCTTCCCTAACCCGAACGCCAAATGCTGAGGCGAAGTCGTAACTGCCTGCGCCACCGTCTCGAATCCGGGCGTCTCGCGCAGCTTCAGAAACCGATATGCGTCGAATGTCTCCGGCTCTGGATAGATGGTAGGGTCCCAATTGGACTCACTGGTGAGAACTGAGATTGTGCCTTTGGGGAGAACGGTTCCATCGGAGAGCGTCACGTCTTCTTGTGCGAAGCGTCTCATTCCCGCTGTTGTGGTTGTGTTAGGTGAATTCTCGGTTGTGTGTAAGAGTTGATGGTGGGGAGAAAGCTTGCCTATACTGTGCGGCTTCAGCCGTTGACTCTCTTTTAATACGCTATCCATAAGCTTTAAGTCGTTGAACGTCGATTTTGTCCATCCGTCGTTTTGCAGAACTCCGATTACTTCGTTTCGTAGCGCCTTAATAACATCCTCACGTTCAGCAAGGTAGAAGATCGTCTGTGTGAGCAGGTCCGATGTAGTATGTATAGCGGCAAGTGAGAGTGCTACCTGAGCAAGAGTCGGGTCGTAAGGTCTACCCTTTGCGCATTCCTCCATCCATTGCATCGCATCCTCGTAGTGTTCAGGCTCCTTTCCTTGACGGATGGCTTCTTGCTTGGCGGACCGTCTTTCTTCGACGACGGGAGTGATGATGCCTTCAGCTTCCTTAATTTCGTTGCGTATCTTACGGCAGAATGGTAGGATGTATGCCACATAGGGTCTGGTGCAGCGCGGGAACATTCGGAGAAATAGAGCGGACATGAATGTGTGAACGGCATAGTCGGCTGTGACTCGATGCCAGTCCGGATTGCGATATAGTTTCTCCCCGAGGAATACCCTTGATGTCAGTCGGGAGATTAAACTAGCCACATTCGGCTTCAATTGTAAATCATGCCAATCTGGTGGTGACATGTTATTAACATCATTGTAGGGCAAGTGAATATATCGCGAATCACTGAGCTTACTGGGATCATCTGTGAACATCTCTCCTAGCGCACGACGAGTATCTTCAGACAAAGGCCGAGCCAACTTATTTACCAGACATGACGGTTAGAATGTGTTTGACTAGGTCGATTGTGTGTAGACATGATTTACTTACCCAATTTCGGTGTCAACTTCGTGCGTAGAACATCTTTCACAAGAGCTGGATCCTGGTTGAAAGGGTCAAACCCTCGAATATGAGCATGAAATTCTTCCGCAATAGCATCCAATAAGCTTAATGCAGGTTGAGTTCGAAAGTCATCTGCATGCTTGGGGGCCAGCACGATCTTTGGCCCGAATTCCGAGTAGAGATAAAAAGCGCTGCCCTGGTAGACAACTTATCAATACCTATGGTTCGGAAGTAGAGTTTAGAGGTGCATACCTGACTGAATCCAGTTCTGATTAAGCCATGTGCATCCTTGAAAAACCGTTTTAGGGAGCCGAGGCTTCCGATCTCGAATCGTTGCCTCTGATTAATTACAGGAAGGGGTGTCTTAAGGGACGGAGTGCTTAGAAGCCAGAAGATAATCGCTGCTAGGACGGGAGCCCAGATCCATGTGGTTGACTCCATCTTGATTAGGTATGATATAGTCTTGGTAGTAAGCATGGTGTGTGCTAGAGTACAAAGGGATTTGATATTCTAATATCAGTAGGAGTGATCATGAAAATCATCTGAAGGAGCGCAGGCCGACTTGGGGTGTTATGCGTGACTAGAATGTCATACTGGAGGCTGTATAATTCCGTTCGACTTCGAAGTAAACAGGCGGAGGTGCGGAGACTGAGACCGGGATTTGCTACGTTTTAGTACCCAATATCATCTCCGATGCGTGCCATCGGACTTGTCAGACTAAGAATGCGGGATTGACTAGTCGCAGCTGCTAATGCAAGGACTACTGCAATAGAGTACGGATGCTGGAAAATGTGGTTGGCCGACTGGCTGGCTGGCTAGTCGTACATTAGGAATGAAGGGAGAGCGGTGCAGCCACGCTATAATGCTTTGGGCACTGCATGAGGGAAGTCTCAGCATTAAGCATGGCAAGCATTGATAAGCCTGCAGAAGGAATATGAGGATGAATGAATGAACAAATAAATTCAATGAATGAATCAGATCTGGATGTTTCAGAGATCACCTTCAAATGTGCTCAGCCTCTCTACTCGTGTGTGCTGAAATGCCTATACAGCCACTGGATATTGCATCGCAGAAACCCCACCAGGTGCGGCTGAAGGGGCCCACAGTATCCCAATCTGCAGAGATGGGGATAGTTTGATGCTAGGATCATTATCCCATCAGCTGATGGAAGAAGTCATCACATCAAGAGTTCAGCTCGTCATAAGCATCAATCGGCAGTCAAAGCTTGGATGGATTAATCCAAAGCCAGCACGCTTTGCCAGAGTGAACATGGGAAAAGGAATCTAGACAGTCAGCATCGACTGTAAGTAAACATGGATAAATCAGGTGACCTGTCCGACTCACCGCTCCACTCTAATCTGGGCTAATCAGAAACATTGAAATGACAGGGCGTGGTTGTCTCTGCCTGGGGCACCCAGCATCCATGCCCGCACTAGTCGGACTATTAGTAGTCGAGCTAACACACACTTACCAGGAGGGAAGAAGAGGCCTTTCTCCCAATAATGATCTCCCTCCTCAGAGCCTTGCCGAGTGACCCAAGTGACAGGCTCTCATCCTTTGCGTCTTGCCATGCAAATCCAGTGCAGATGCATGGGAAGGTATCACTGCCAGTATGCACTGGAGATATGAACAACCCTCCCCTCTGAAGCGTGTCCCCGCACATAGCCAGCCAACATGAGAAGACAAAGAGCATTCACCCATAGATCCAGAAATGGATGTCGCACCTGTCGGTCAGTCTTCATCATCCATTCCCCTACTACTCCACTTCCGCATCTGATTACATGCGTCAACATCAAGACTAGGCTCCTGATCCTAGGGTAAGCAGCTAATCCCCCAGTCCGTGCACGCAGGTCCCGCCATATCAAATGTGATGAAACCCCAAATGCATGCCGCAACTGCACTTCCACAGGGCGCAAATGCGACGGGTACACTCAATATCGACTACCTTCTCGTAAGGTGACACTACCAGTCTCCAAACCATCCAAGAGCCTCATCCTCTGTCTCCCTGGACTGGATTCCGATGAGCGTCGATGTCTCCAGTTCTTCGAGCACAACACCATCCCCATGCTAGTGGGGTATGCGGACTCGGAAGTATGGCAACGTCTCGTACTACAAATGTGTCATCGAGAACCCGCCGTCTGCCACGCAGTAGTCGCGCTCAGTGCCTTTCATGAGGACTACGAACGGAGCATCAAAACTCTGAAATCAAAACCTGATCATCGCCATCACCACTTCGCATTGGAACAATACAACCGCTCCATGGCAATGCTGCGCCGGCGCATCCAATCCAATGACCCCCAAGTCCGTGGCATCACACTCATGTGCTGTATCACCTTCATCATCCTCGAACTCCTTGAGGGGGACTACACCAACGCGTTCGCCCATCTCCAACAAGGCCTCAACATCCTGAAAACCCAATCATCCCACCACACACTAACCACCGAGCGCATCCTCGCCAAAGCCTTCCTGCAGCTCAACACCCCGCGAGCCTACTGGAATGGCCCTGACGTCGTCGTAACCGGCCACCCTCCCAAGGGCAGCGTGCGGGAAGTAGCATACGAAGTCACGCCAATCCACAGCATCGCCGAAGCAAAAGATCGTCTACGCGTACTAATGAACAACATCTTCCACCTTCAATCCCTCTGCAACATCTTCTTTCGCGGCGAACAAGACCCACACCTCAACACTCTAACCCTCTCCGCAAAACAAACCGCCCTCCATCACGACCTAGCAGACTTCACCCTCGACCTAAAATCATTCATCTCGTCCCACAAATCCCACACCGCCTGGGCGTTACGAGAAACCCGCAGCGTGGACGTCATCCTCACACACGTAGCAACCCTAACCAGCATGCTCGGCTGTTCCCTCGACTCAACGGAACTAGGTTACGACAACTTCCTACCCGAATTCAAACGCATCAACCACCTCTGTGAACGAATCATAGCCACCTTCGTGACTGAATACGGGAGTTACGAGAACCTCCCCACCATGGTCACTGATATCGGTGTCCTGCCATCGTTGTTCTGGTGCTGTGTGAGGTGTCGGGATGCAGAGACGAGAGAACGAGCGCTTCAACTGTTGAAGGTGTGGCCCCATCGCGAGGGGTTTTATGATTCATATCTAATCGTGAATATTTGCCGAGGACTGATTGATCTTGAGGACGAGGGAAGAGATACTGAGGGGTTTATCCCGAGAAAGTATCGTGTGCATACGCATACGATTGAAGTTGTGGAGGATCGAAGAAGTATGGTTATTAGGTATGTGATGGCTGGTGGTGAAGGTGGGGAGCAGGAGAGGGTGGTGGTGCTTGAGTAGTAGTTATTAATAAATAGTACTTAAAAGGTACAGTTCATCGCCGTTAGTATGCTTACAGATAGTAGAGAAATAGTATATAAGAACCCCCCGTGCTGATACTATAAGAGAAACAATGCCCTACCCTACTTACTACACCGGTTATCTGTTAGTTATCAAGAGTACTTAGTACTTTATATACCGTACGTATCATTGACAGGGACAAGAACGAAGGAGGACGGAACAGGCTGCTGCTCTATTAGCAACAGTTTCACTAATGACACATTCAGTACCTAAGTCCTACTTACTAGATACTACTACCTAGACCCATGACACTTCGTCTTACCTGGTATCACAATATGCATACTACGCAGCTACTAATGTAGTATCACCCTCTCTTCATCTGTTGTCCTACCATCCATCTCCATAGTATGCTGTGTATTAGATTTACGTTGCCTGAGTAGGACGAAATTAAGAACTAATACTAGAACTAGAACTACTAGTAGTACCTAATGTTGTGTGTGAGCCTTTACTAATTCGGACACACACACTTATAAATATATTCCTCCCATTCCAGATCCCCTCTCATAAAAATTCCACCACCATAGTCCAGTCAGCATAAGTCCGGCACCCAGCCTGTTGGAAATCACATTCTTTTTTCTTCGTACACGAACAACAATAGTGGTAGTAGCATAACAATGGGTATGTCTCAAACAATAATAAAACTAGTAAGCAGAAATAAAGTGTCGTCGTTCATATGGTGGAAAGAACTCGTTAAGAAATCATCATTTCCCAGTTTTTGTCTGTGGTGCCAGCCCTGGAGCTATTTCATCTCCGGTTCATTTGCTCTTTGATTTTCATTTCAGATGGTTGGTTGTATCTACAGTCCCGTGTTGGCGCAGGAGAAAGGAGTGCCGACGGTTCCTTCTCGGTAGCTGATAATGACGCTTTCAATGGATGCCTAGGAGGGTTCTGTTAGTGTCGGCTTCTTTGGTATCAGGAGAGAGAATGAAGACTTACATAAGTTCCTGGTCCTAAGAAAAAGAAACCAGCGAAGATAAGAGTAACATTGAGAATCGCGCCCAGCCAGCCGCGGATACCACGGTTCTTGTAGAAATTGGGTCCATAGTCCTCCCGGCGCATGCGCAGGTAGGCCGTACCCCAGAAAATGAAGCCGAAAAATGAATCGAAGAGGGAGCTCATGATCGACTCCAGGTCGGAAAAGAAGGGGATCACCTCGGCGATGATGAAGGCGAGGATCCAAAGGATGGTGAGGATACCGGTCCAGGCGGCCCATCCGAGCACGGTGTGGTTACCCTTGTGGCGGGTGCCATCGAACAAGCGGAAGAAGATGAAACGCGCTGACACAGAGGCATACAGCACGCCGAGGAAAATCAACGTCGGGATCATGAACGAGAAGGACACCTTCTTGTATACCTCGTTACCCAGAGAGCCGAATGCCGGCGACGTGATGTACTGGTTACCGGTGTAGGCGTACACGATAGAGCCGACCAAGCTGAACACGATGATCTCGGCAATGGTGACGGCGGTGACGGACTTCCAGAAGTCCTTGGGCTCCTTCATCTCCGCGATAAAACTTGGCAGCGTGATCTGACCGATGAAGGTGTAGCTGATATTGAGAAAGGCGCTCATTCCTGAGACAAAGGTCGTTCCGGGCACAGGGATCGCTTTCACAATGGGGTCTCCCATCTCCGGGGTATAGCCCGCGGGATGGTCCTCAATGGCGGAGAAGATGAGGGCTAACATGACGGAGATGAATGTGGTAAAAGCCGACAGGGTAGCCACCTTGGATAGGGCACTAAAGGTGCGTGGAAGTGAGCAGATCAGCGAGATAATAGCCGTGACCAGTGAGAACACGATGGTGCAGGCTCCATGACCACTGATGGTATTGAGGTACTCGGCGCCAACCAAGCAATGCAAACCCTAATCCAGGTTAGCGCTATAAATAACTTCGCATGCAAAATAAAATTACCTGAATGAATGTGTTGTTCAACAAGAACATCACCGCAGTCAGGTACCACACAACTTTGGAGTCCCAGAAGATCATTTGGCCGATGTCGCACACGTCACGGACATGTGGGTGTCGTAGACAAAACTTCCTACACGATATGAGCGATTATCTTCGCAAT